TCTCCTCCCTGCTTATGTCATGATTTTTTTGTTTAAATGTCACTTAGGTGGGAATTCAGCTACAACGTTCTGCTACAAACAGTACCATAACCTGTTCCGACATCTTCACAGCACCGTCATGTCCCTTTAAAGGGAATTAGCCATTGTGTTTAAAGAGCACCTCCCAGCAGTTCCTCAGACATATCAATGACTTATTATTCATTTAGTGCTGCAATGGGCATGGTAAATGGGCAATGTGCCTTTCTTTGAGAATGCCAACCGAAGAGCCAAAGGTTGTCGGGGATACACACAAGGCTGTGCTGTGAGTACTGGCATTCAAAGCTCAGAGTGAGCGTATGGAAACTATTGTGAGAATAGCAACAGGGAACATGGAAGATGGAAGATGGGTAATTCACTCCTGGTATTGTGGAAAACACTGTCTCATTTCTTAATTAAAGGTATAACTCACCATCATACTATCCCTTGGACAAATGTATTTATTTTTTACTTGATGAGCATCAAAAGTTAAATTAAAGGTAAAAATACAAAAATTAAATTAAAGGGGTCATATGATGCGATTTCAATTTTTCCTTTCTCTTTGGAGTGTTACAAGCTCTTGGTTAAAATGTAAATAAAATCTTTCCGTTTAATATTTGATAGAAATTCAAAACATTTTACCATGAGAAACCTTCTGAAGAATCTTTTCACAGTCTGCTCTGTCAACTTAAAATTCAGTGTAAAGATCTTGTATAAAATTTGTATAAAAGCCAGATTAAATTATGCTAGCTCTGACCCACCTCTGCCCTCAGTATCATAGCATACAGCTGTGATTGCTGTGTAAACACACTTTTGCCTACTCTGAATAGTATTAAACTGTGTGTGTAAAGACACCTAAATGCCACTTCAGAAGTGCTTCTCTGCCATCTTTGCAGTGTACATTTGCCATAATATTTGATAGAAATCTAAAATTTTCTAAGTATAACCTCTTAATGTATCTTCTTTACACAGCTAAATTAGGGATTAAATTATGCCTGCTCTAATTCACTTCAGCCCCTGCTATCATAAAGTTGTACTCGCTGTGTAAATGCCAGCTCTGAGCAGCACTAAACAATCTGTGTAACGACACCTCAGTGCCACTTCAGAAGTACATCTGTGCCACCTTTGCAGTGTAAATTTGGCATTAGACAATGCCGTGGGTGAAAAGCGACCACCCATCTATAAGATTTTAACTGGCTTTAAAGTTCAAACTGTTTGTTTGCTTTGCATTGGTTAATGTTAACTAAAGCTTTTATTAATAAACTCATAAATCGCTAAGACCAAAAACGGACAAATTGGCTCGAACCTGACCATTTCTTTTTTTAGTAAGTTCAACAAATACGCAAACACTTATCTAATGTAGGCCCGGCTACATAAACACTAAGCGACTGTTGCTGTCTGATCCTATCACAATATGTACACAAAACACGTGCTGCTGCACATGATGCTCTACCATGAAATACTGGTTTTAAAGACATCTCTGCATGTGTGTAGAAATATTCACATACATGTTTAATACAGAATCTAATGATCGATTTTTAGGCATTCATTGACTATTATTCATCATTCTGCCCTTTCAAACGTGTGGAGAAAAATGTGACCTCAATAGCAGGTGAAGTCTGTTTTATAGGTCCATAAAAGGACTGAAATCTGATATACCTCTAAATTATATCAAGCACTGTTAAGGCAGTCTAGATACATTCATTACACACGGTTACACAATCGACCATATTATTTGTCCATTATGGTCTTCAGATTTAACTAAATTAACTGGTCATTTTACCTGAAGCATAAGTTAATCAATACAACATAAAGCATGGATCTGGGATATTGACTTGCCAACACAGCAGCCATGTTATATTCAAGGATACAGAGTGCAACAGTCAGGTTCCATAAGTAAAAATCCCATTTATTTTCTCTATATGGGAACTGATTTTTAACAATAACATATAAACCATTAAAGACAAGACCTACTGTGAGCATCGAGGTTGTTAATTGGTGGTTCAGGTTTTGTTAAATCTTCAGTTTTAAACCCCGCCTTTAAAGGTACCTTTCACAATTGTAACTTAAGGTTGAAATACACTACATGATTTTTGCCCTGATTTTCCGCCGATTTACTGTCTGGAGTCAGTCTGCAGATTTGAGTTGACCGATTTCATAGAAAATCGCATAGTGTATGATGGTCACAGATTCCGATTTTGTAGCTACAGTCTAGGGCTGTGCGATATGGACAAAAAAAACCTATTGCGATTTCTTTGATCAATATTGCGATTTCGATTTTAATCACGATTTTGACACACACAGACATGCTTTACAGTCATTAATGCATTCAGTGTGAATTTGAAACATATTTCCAAAAGAAAACCAATTAGAGCTTTATCAAAAATCTGTAACATGTCTCTAGAACAGACATAAGGCAAAATAATCACTAAGTAAAGGTGTAACAAAATGTCTCTAGAATAGACATATGGCAGAAAAAAAAAAAAATCCTGTGTCCAGGGATTTTTTTTTTTGCCATGCACTGGTCATAGAGCTCTTATCGGTGCTGCAGACGCACCGCTCCTCCCCGGAGTGTGTGGACCTGGCATTACGTTAGTATGCCCGCCCGGCCTGTTCTGTTCTCGTGCTCCATTTAGGCACGCTGCATTCTGATTGGTTCGGATAGCATACTGCGGGAGGTCGGGGGTGCGGAAAATCGTGCAAGCTCAAATCGCGATTTTATGACGATTTCGATTAATCGCACAGCCCTACTACAGTCTCTGATTCCATCTAGTTGGGTGATATCAAACATGTTTGATATTTTCAGCCGATTTTAGAACACGTCTTTTCATTTGTAACGCGTCTCCTAGCAACAAGGCGCACGTTTCTGCGTGAGTTTGTTGTGATCGGAGCAACTTTAAAGTTTGGTATGATCCTCAGTTGTTTAGTGTATGGCCAGTTTTTCCTCTGTGACTACTGCAAAGTAGGTAAGTGTATGATCCCCAATCTGTTCAGATTTTAAAAGTCGTGTAGCCTAGTGTATTCCAGGCTTTAGAAATGGGGTTAGCACCGCTTTTCGTGGTGCCAAACTTGTACAGTGTGAAACGAAGCGGTGTTTTAGAATGCAGGCTGGAATACACTACACGACTTTTGCCCAGATTTTTTCCCCCGATTTACAGTCTGGAGAAGATGCCGAAAGTCAGAGCCACTCTGCAGATTTGAGTTGACAGATTTCATAGAAAGTCGCATAATGTATGATGGTCACAGACTCGCTTTATGGTCACGATTCTAGCTTTAGAATCCAGCCAGTTGGGGGATATTAAACATTTTATGAGCCGATTGTAGAACACATTGTTTTCATTTGTAAGGCATCTCCTTGCAACAAGGCGCACGTTTCTGCGTGAGTTTGTTGTTATCGGTAATGTATGATCCTCAGTCGTTTATTGTATGATAGCCAGGTTTTCCTCTGTGACTGTTTACAAAGTCTGTAAGTGTACGATGTACAGCGTATTAAAATCTGTTCAGATTTTAAAAGTTGTGTAGTGTATTCCAGCTCTTTGATGCTTAGCAACAGACACCCAATCCCTTGCCTCATATTCACATGGTTTCTAATGGTCATACTCTTAGAATTTCATATTAAGAAATTCTTTTAACACAAAAAGCAAATTATGCTCCCTTCTAACTGGTTGTCTTTAAAATACAAATCTTGTGTAATCCCAGGCTATCTGTAATCAAAAGCACAACTGGAATATAATTTGACACCGGCCCTCCAGGACCGAGTTTGGGCACCCCTGCCATAGATAGTCTAGTAGCCAGGACAACTTCTTTATGTTTACAGACATGATGTAATGACACAGAGGCATGCTCGAATTTCCCACGAAAACCTACCCGTACCACTCAAATTAGAAAACATTATTATAAGATAACCGTTGTGAATCGGGCTAAATTAAGTGAAAAATATTTCTTGTATGCCTATTTATTTTACTCTTTTTATTTATATTATTTTATTCGGTTTTTCTTTGCTCTCAGAAGCGCTGGAGGTATATTTTTAATGGGTCACAGACACTCGTCCATCATATTATTTATTTAATACTTAATATTCAAATCTTATCAGTTAATGTTCGGATAACGAGCTGCGGGTGTCGGTCCGGAAAATTAACCAAAATGACCATCCCTACTTCTAGCGGAAGAATTTCCTTTATTTTCACAAACAAATAAACGTTTTAATGAAAATATATGTCTCTAAAATAGTACTATGTGGTAAACGTTGTAAAAAAAAAAACGCACTAGTCTCACTTACCTATTTAAATATGTGTTTGTTACTTGCAATTAATTACTAAAAGCAAGATCACAGTCCCTGTCTGTGGTAACGTTAGTGAACATTACCACAGCTGTGATTACATGTGGTATGACTACAGGCACTAATGCTCGCGTGTTATTACTTACCTATGAACTGCAATTATGCATTTTGTGGATCGTCTAAAAAGGAGTTTATAGTAAATATAAGTGCTTCTAAGTTACAACATGCTATAACAGACAATCACGTGTATGTCTCAAATCACTGCAGCCTGCCCGTTGCTGTCTGTCTCGTCAGGCTCTTACCTGCCTAGTCCGACCT